CAACTGATAAATGATTATTCCAGATTATAAAAAAGAAAGAAAAAAAGAAAGAAAGAAAGAAAGAAAGAAAGAAAGAAAGAAAGAAAGAAAGAGCAAGACAGATGATGCTACTGCTATTTTAACCATAGAGTAGAAAGGGATTTCAGAGATCATGTAATTCCACCATTTGCTAAAACACTTCAGACAGTTGTACTCAACTGTGTAACTTGTGCTATAGTGACTACTGAACCCACTACAGCACAACCAACACAAGCTATGAAAAGGATCACACTGCCATACATCAGAAACATCTCAGAAACAACCAACAGACCATTACAACTACATGGCATCGCTGTAGCACACAAACCAACTAAAGCCCTCCAAAACATCTTAAGTAAACCAAAAGACCCAACAGCTCAAGAAGAAAAACCAGGAGTCATCTACAACATAGGGTGTAAGGACTGTAACAGCCACTATGTAGGACAGACAGAAGACTAGCAGAGCGCATCCATGAACACCAAGAAGCAGTCAGAAGACACAATGAAAACTCCTTAATCTCACAACACATGGACAGACTCAGCCATAGTTTCAAGTGGGAATCTGTGAGCATCCTAGACCAAGCTAAATCCAAAAACGCTAGGGAATTCCTGGAAGCTTGGCACTCAGACACATCAGCCATCAACAGACGGATAGAGATAAACCACATTTACACACCATTCAAAAGAGACAATAAGAAAGCTAAGAAGGAAATAAAAAGACCAGAACATATCCTCTCCAGCAACTCACACCTAGATAAGCAGGGATTAACACCAGACAAACAATCATGCAAGCAGAAAACAATACTCTAATCAAGGAACTACCAAGTAGACAGACAATCAAGCAGACAAACAATCAAGCAGAAAACAATACCCTAATCAAGAAACTATCAAGGAGAAAACCACACCGCCACCAACACTGGCAGGGCAAGCTACTGTATACTAACAGGGAGCAAACCCCACACTCACAAGCACTGATGATATTACCTAGTCAGGTAATGAAATGTCTGCAAACAACCAAGTTCAGAGAGCACCAAGGACTCCACAGAAATCAAATCCTATGGCAGTATTTGCTTGAATTAAAGATTAAGACTGTTAGAAGTAAAAGGAAGGAATTAAAAGTTGGTTTATTTGATCAAGGTGAAAATAAGACATTGTTTGCAAAGTTCTGGCAACCCTTTATGGACTTTTTGCTGACACCAAGCTTGAAAAGTTGATGTTCTGTGATTTTGCTTATAGATAAGGGATGGGATATAGGATGAAGAGATATCTGTTTAACCTTATAGGGGGTGAAGAGTTATTAGGTTTGTTTATATTTGTTGTGACGAAGGTTGGAAGTCACTTCTTTATATATTTTTCTTTTTTTTATTATATTCTTTCTTTTCTTTTTCTTCTTTCTTCCTTTTTCTTTTTTCCTGCACTTTTTATTCTTTCTTTCCATTTTCTTCTCTTTCTCTAAGTATAGTTTGAATTCATTTTTACTATTGTAATTAAAATTCTTAATAAAAATTATAGTTAAAAGTGTTGATAATTTTTAAAAAAATATATTATCATCAGATCTCCAAAAACAGCTCTTTAAAATTATTCCTCATCTTTCCAAAGCTGAGATCCTAACTGAAGCCCACTGTGCCATCTCTTTCCATTTCAAATTCTTTTCCTCATTTTTCTAAATTTAATTTCTTCAACCATGGCCCCAATGCTCATCAACTCAAACTATGTTTAGATATTGTTTAAACCTTTACTATTGTGTGTGACAACATTATTGTACATTGTAATTAAGAACATACATCTGCCTCCTGTGCATGGCTTGCTGTGTTATGAGGATCTGGGTAATGTTTCAGAAACTGTGCTACATAGGTCATAACTGATTTTTCATCCGGTTTATCCACATCCACATCTGAAAAAAATGAGGAAAAAAAATTAAAACAAAGTGTAAAAACATGACATAAAAACAAATACTGTCCTTGCCACATGAGAAACAAAAAATAGATAAAACAGATGAACACATTTAAAAACTGTTCAAAATAGATCACACATTAAATGTTATACTACCTTCAGGATCAAGGAGTCTTGGAATTCCCAGTTCTGTTTCTGCAATTGTAAAGGCCTCTTCCAAATTTTTTTTGTTAGACTGCATTTTCACCCTCTCCAAATCCACTAGTTCTGGACGGATAGCATGAATAACTGAATGAAAGGCAATACCACTTCTCCAGCTTTGTCCAAAATCCTTGACTTCAATTCCAGTTTGCCTTAACAATAAAAAATAACACACTACCAACTTGTACAGACTTATTGTTGAACTTCTAGTATTAATCCATTATATTAAGGCTATATTTGCAGCGCTTCTGGAATAAATACTCTTTTTGATTCAATTACCTGTATTTTCTGGTTCCATTCTGTTTTTATCTGAACTCTCATTTAAATATAATTTAATTTATATCTATGGAATTGTTACATGATGGATTTAGAAATTCTGCCTCTGACTTAGTAACTTTAGAAGTATTTGAGAATTGCAATATTACAGCAGAGGTCCTAGATGAGATAAGAAAGGAAAATCAGTGGTATTCCTTGCAATTTTCCCAGAAAAACTAAAGGGTATGTCAAACTCTGAGTGTAGTATATTTTGTTCCCATGAACGTATTTCCAGGTATCAAGATCTGCAAGGAAGACCTTCTTAAGATTGCCTTCAAATTTAGAAAGCTGTCCATCGGCATCTGAGTAGATTCTTTTCCTGTATCGCACCTAAGCAATAGAATGCATTTCCTATGGAGATGGTCTTCTTCCTACTCTCTAGAAAAGCACACAAGCTGCATCTGTTTTGCCAGGACCTTATTATCATTTTTTAAAATGTTGTGCTTTATATTCTTGTACTTATTAGCTGCTTTGAGTATTCAGTTGAAATAGAAAAATGGGATGTAATTTGTACAGCTAAAAACATTAACTTACTTTTATGCATTCATATTTAGTTTTATGTTACTTCTTTATTGTCCAATTATCTCATGTTTCAGTGTCATTACATACTGTAATCATATATTCAGACAGTGACATGGGAACATAAATAATTTGCTCTTCTGCAACTTAGATTTTCAGACAAAGTAGTCAGTCAAAATCTCTTCCAAGCAGAGTACATCAAGGAAAATTAGGCTAGACCAGGACATATCAAATTAAATCAGGTTTCTTTCAACCTAATTTGGCACATGGAAAGTAGTGAGTGACACCTGCTGGCAAACCCACAGAGAAGATGCCTCAACAGAAAGCTGACACCATCTGAAACTACATAGGCTGGCAAGAACCATAGTACAACCTCCAGTCCTGCAAAAAATGGCTTGAATAAGGCAGAAGGGATGTAGATGTAATGGGGACTCATACACTAAGTCAAAGAAAAGCAGCACATCTTCAAACTAGGAAGTCACTGGAAATAGTGTTTAAGGTTTTCCCCATAACAGGTGAGCTTGCATCCGCTTCTTTAAGGCAGCACTAGGACCCAAGTCTGAAGAGATCATGACAGAAAGCAATATAAAGTCCCACTGTACAAAATAATACAATAAAGATGCCAGATATAACTACTGAATCATTTTCCCTTGCCATGTCATACTAGTACATAGATATTGTCTAAAATATTTATAAGTAGTCCTCATTCAGCAAGCACAATTGGACCAGCAACTTGGTTGTTAAGCAAAGTGGTCAGTAAGTGAAATTGCAACTGTGCTTATGATCTTACTTCAGTTTTTCTTTGCTTTACAAACCTGCAAAGGTCATAAATGCGAGGATTAATTGTAAAGTTACTTTTTCCTCACTGTCATAACTACGAACAGTTGCTAAATGAGGCAGTTGCTAAACGAGGACTACCTGCAGATGAATTGAACATCAGCACTGCCATGAGTTCAAGCAATTCTACTATACATAATTTAATTCCAGAAGCTCACAGTAACTTTTGACTTTTAATTAAACTATACAAATGTTATGAGATCTAAAGTATATAAAACTATCATTCAAAATCAAATGCCTGCATCTTGAAGAGCAAGTCAAGAGCATAAAAGGGTAAGATTACAAATTAGCTTGAGGAACATTAATTTCTTCATTTAAATTAGTTATGATTTTATACCTCTTGTATATTGGTTTCATACAATTATCTCCTAAAATCTTAAATACAATATTGTGCACTTTTTAAAAAGCTGTCTGAAATCTACAACCATGAATTATATCATTTATAGGGGAAATATTGTGAAACTTACAAAAAGAATATACTGGCTAATTCTAAGAATATATTGACAAGAGAAGAGAATATAACATCTCAAAGCAGAGGAAGAAAACTTCTGGCCCACATACAATCCCCAACACTTTGGGATAATGTTACTAACACTGGCAGAGAAAACTCCCCATGCTGCACAAAATTGCAGTGACAAAATTAGCTCACTTTGGTGCCAAAAAAAAAAAAAAAGCACAATCGAAGGAGCTTAGGAGTGGGAATGTCGGTCTGTCTCCTCAAACTGTACCACTTCTGTCTTAAAGTAACTCTTACTGAAGTGAAGAATTACATTTAGGATTTCAATATGATAAAGTACATAGAGATTTCTTTCTTTCTCACTTTTTACTCATCTTCCTGATATAAATTATTTCATTGCACTGTTTAACCCATTATTGCTTACTTTGCTGCTGTGTACTGCACCCATTTTAGCAAAGCCTTCTTTGCATTTCCTTGGACTTTAGTTAAAACTTTCCGCTTGGATGGTGGACTGGCAGTCTCACAGCTGACGACACTATCCACAGATGATGTACTACTGCAGAGTGACTGCAACTGTGGCAGGTTGCTTGTAAGCTCCTCTATCTATACATAGAAGAAAGATTCTCAATGCATTAAGGGTAGTGGAAATGATGTTAGCAATAGATCTTTTGTTCAACAGCTGATTAACAGGATATCAAGAATTATCATGAAAACATGCAAATCAAAAATTGCTTGACAAGACTAATAAACTCCATACTGAAACTCTGCATTCTAAGAAGATACAACTGAAAGGATGTAGGGCAGGTTCATATTTATCAGCCTCACCCATGGAATTGTATTGGCCAAATGACAGTTGTATGCAAGAGCCAACCTGATGAATTGGTACCTTCTCAAACAAACTGCTTATGTGATTGCCATAATTTCTTCGGACTGCAGGTCTGAAGATCATGACAGCAAGCAACATAAAATCCCACTGTCACTATTAATATGCAAATTGTTGATACCTACACAAAGTGCTAAGGTGCACTAATGCCCTTTCATAAGGAGTAGCAGAATCTCTTGGGCAGCAGGAGCATTCTTGAGATACAAATGAGAATAGGCATAATTACATGGATCTATCTTACATATGCCATATACACAGAAAAAAGGTAACTACAGAAAAATATGAATCTGGAACCACTCTATTGGAATAAATCCTATTTCATAGACTGGAAGAAATGCAGGAGAAATTGCTCTCCCATGTGCCAGAAATACAGAAAATACAGATCTTAACAGCCAGAGAAGTTCATAATGGGAGAAAATGTCCCTTGGTCAGGCTGAGCTAAATAGGGCTTACCTAAACTCAGTGGGATCTACTTTTCAATAGAATGGCTAGGTTTGCCCTATTCCTTTGATTATTTTAGCATGCTAAAATATTTGGATTATCAAAAATCCATATACTTCCAGAACACATACTGGTAGTCCTCATTTAACAACCACAATTGGGACTGGCAACTTGGTCATTAAGCAAAGAGGTCGCTAAGTGAAACTGCGACTGTGTTTATGATCTTACTTCAGCTTTCCTTTGCTTTACAGACCTGCGAGGATAGGTTGTAAAGTTACTTTTTCATCGCCATTGTAACTCTGAATGCTAACCAATGCAGTTGCTAAACAAGAACTACCTGTACAACTTACCTAAGAAAACAAAGAAAGCAAAACAATTTTATATTAATTACTGTTGGCCTTCTCTCTAAACTGTGAGCAAACAAACAAAAAAAAAACACTCCCACGAATGCATAATGATTCCATTGTTTCCCTCATTTTGGAGTTTGTTTTTTAAAACTGAAAAACAGTTTAAATATGTTCTAATAATAAATATTTTTTCTAAATAAGAAAACATCTCTTGAATATAAGTGAATCCAAAACATGCTACCAGAAGGGTCTTGCTGTATGTTAAATATTCCAACATGGTGATTTTTATTTATAGTCAGTGGCAGAGTGCTCCAAATTGGATTACAATCAGTACAGTACTCCAGTTTCCTGATTTTTTCCCCCCCTGAGAAATACTCTCTTCCATTGAAAGAAGTTTATGATTTTCTAGTTCATTCCCATTTTGTGCTTACTGATTGTTAAGAAGTTTTGTGCTTATTTTGCATGTATTTATTTATCAAATGTATTTATTTTATTGTTCAGGGTACTTTTTCCCATTAAACCTTTCTACATCAGCCTGCACCTTCCCTCACTGACTTTAATTCCTGATCTGCAAAATTTTATTAGAAGAAGGTCCTTCATGAAGCATGGAAAACTGTAGAAACTTCAGGACATACACAATCCTCTGACAATGGAAAAAACAAAACCAAACCCACATATATACACATCCAACCAAAGACAAATTCACTTTTTTAAAAAAATCAACTGAAGTCCCATCACAGGACAATGAAAAGAGGAGGGGTTTTTTTTTGTATAGCAGGAGTTGGAACAGTAGCATGGTGAGAAGTATCAAACTGTATTGCCTGTGATGATTTCTGACTTACATATCCCTAGATAATTTATAGTAACATTTTATCAGCTCTGTGTCCTGAATAATAATAATAATAATAATAATAATAATAATAATAATAATAATAATAATAATAATAATAATAATAATAATAATAATAATAATAATAATAATAATAATAATAATAATAATAATAATAATAATAATAATAATAATAATAATAATAATAATAATAATAATAATAATAATAATAATAATAATAATAATAATAATAATAATAATAATAATAATAATAATAATAATAATAATAATAATAATAATAATAATAATAATAATAATAATAATAATAATAATATACAAATTATTTTGTAATAATATAAAGACTTGCAAACAGATGTAGAATTACTTTGGCAAAAGAAAGCAAAGATAGTACCAACAGTAATAGGCACATTGGGTGCCATCCCAAAACATCTGGAGCACCACTTGAACACCATCGGCATTGCCAAAATCACCATCAAAAGGCACTTTACTTGGAACAGCTTACATCCTGTGACGATACCTTTAATATTATTAAACAACATCTGCCTATCCCAGGTCCAGTTTAAACATCTGGGTAACTATGTGACCAATCATAATAATTTGCCTTTTATTATTTTTAAAAAGGGAAAAAACTATACCTGGAAATACAGGATTATTGTCCACACCAACCCAAGCACAATAGATGGTCTTCCATCAGCAATATCAGTTGAATTAATGTTGACAAGCTTAATCTGTTTTGGGGTGGGGAGATGCAAGCACATTATCATCATGCATTAGAGAAAGCCACAACAGTTGGGTAGCTTGATATAAGATGGAGCTATTTGTGGACATATTTATGAGCCTTAATATAAATAGCATATATTCGCAAAATGAGTACTACACCTACAGTTATTCTTCCAAATTAAAAAATGATATATGCAAACACTTGTCAATTTATGTTTACGTTTCTTAGATAGAATGAAATGTACATGAAACTACACCATGCAGATTCTGCAAACTAGGGCAGTTTGCTCTGTAGATTAGGAAGAAAACAACATGCTGCTGCTCCATGGATGCTTTTCAAACACACGTTTAGGCATATAAACCTTGACTTCACTTGTCCGTTCCTAGATCCCATACATTCTTTTACTGATAAAAATTAAAAGAGTCCCCTGCATCCATCTGCCTGAGACAGGAAGCCTGAATCATTTGAGCTTACTATCCCCTGCAGAATGCTTTCACTCCTCAGATCAAACAGGATAGAAAATTAATATGAGGAAGCAAGCAAGGGGTAGGATAAGAAGACAACTATTGGCATGAACTTGCAATCATTGCCCCAATACGTTCATCTGAGAAGATAATCTGGCAGTGCACTGAAGAACTACAATTACCTTTCTAGGTAACATCTTTCTGCTCTCTATATTCCCTACAATATGTATGTCTATGTACCTTTTTGCTCCCTACATAGAGTACTTAAATAATATTGTTAATTCAGTTATAAAAAAGATCCATTTAATTTCACTGAAATCTGTAATACTGTTGAATGTTTGATAAAAGTATTATACTAACCGGTGATCCTCTATACACGGACTAGCATGGAAAACAGATAAATATGCATTTAAAATCCTATATGTGAATGTTTAGAATAAGGAGATGAAATAAAAATATGCTTCATACAGGGTAACTAAATAACATGAAAAGTGTTTGCTAAGTTAGTGCTTCAAACTCACTACTTCCTATCATCTCTATGTTGTTTTTACTGCTTTAGTTCCTGAAATTCTTATTTTAACTTTTATTTAATTTCATCCCAACCACAGAGTAGGGCAAAATTGCGACTGGTTAAGGCTGGTATGTGTGGAAGAGGCAAATTGCTATACAGAACTCTGAAACTTACCCGACGTCCTTCTAGGAACTTAAGGGCAGTACCAATGTTGGCTACTCCATGAATTCTCTTCAGTTTTCGCCCTTGTTCACAAGGCTTTAAAAAGTATAAATAAAAAAGGGCAATTAACATTTAACAAATCACAGTGTTAAAATAGACTGGAGCTAAAAATTTCATAATGTCAATATCTCAGCAAACTCACTAGAAAGGAAACACACTGGATATTTATATTTCCAAATAAATAATCCAATTTTTTTAAAAAAGATCATTGACCTGTTAAAGTTCCAATTCTTTTTATATTTATATTCTGAGGGAGCAGCATCTGGCAACTACCAGTAATTTATACAAATCAGTTGTAACTGTTTACCATAAGTCAGAGTCCTCCCTTGTGATAACTTTCAGATATGTTGCAGTTAAACACCCCAAAACCTCAGCCAATGGCCACGCTAACTGGATTAGGCATTGAAGCTAAAATCAAACAAATATGGACAGCATCAGACTAGGAGAAATTGCCTTAAACTGTACTGACATTTTTAATATCAAGACAGTGAAGTGGCAAGCTGCTGACAAATATATTTTATTTTGGTTTCGTTTAGATTTTGTTCTAGATTTTTTTTAAAAAATGAGAATATTTTGGACAAATGTAGAACCAATCAGCCTCAATCATTTAATTCTCTTCTCTTTAAGCTTCTCTTTAAAGCTTCTTTTTAATAAAACTAATTTGTGCTGTTTTTCAATAAAATAAAAGTAACCCCAAAACTTTGTATTTAAGATTCATTCTACCACAAGAGGGAGTATTTTTTCTTATTAAAATAATAGGAGATGACTAAAAGTTATTTAACAGTTAGGAACCAAAGTGCTGTTTGAAGAAAATTGCACTCAGACTACAATAAATGATCCAATTTTACAATCCATATGAAAAAACTGCATGGATTACTGGATTATAAATCAAACAAGTGGTCACTGGGAACTGATACATTATAGCACCAATAGGAAAAATACAAACTTTTGCCTTTCTTTCCTTACTGTATTGTTAAAGGCATCATGTTATCAGTTTATCTATATACTACTAAAACTCTCCTGTTTGTTTCTTTATTTGTAACCTTCAATTGAGTGAAACAGTGCATCATAGGGCAACAATTTTTGAACCAAGGTACCTCAAATGGGCTAACTTACAGAATGCATTCAAAATCGAGGACTCATTACGCCCGTGGGACTGAACTTTGGCAAAGTGCTGCTGCAGTCACATTATCGTTATTTCCAACACTCCCTGCCAGCTTCCCACAGGGGAAGTCAATGGGGAAGCTGGCAGGAAGTTGGAAGTCACTCCAGCTCCCACTGCTTTTTTGCCTATGGTCATTCTATTTCTCTGTTTAGGTAAGAAAATATCTCTGAAACATGAACCCAGTGAGTCATGGGTTGTCCAGTCACTGATAAATCCACTCATTTGTGTTTCAACATATATATATGGCAGGAGTCGAGTGTTCTTTGCATTGGAGCAAATTGCTCCCAGTGAATTTACAGGGTAGACATCACTCGCACCTTGGTTGTACAGAATACCTATTCTTGAGACCTAATTTGCTCAACATTTCAGCAGTTTAGGTCCTGAAACAGATTCCTCTGAGCAGTGACACTATTATATCTGTGCAGTGAACTGGTTTCTGATTAAACTTGCCTAATTCTGCTCATTTCTTCTAGGACAGATTTCTCCATAATAGTGCTTCCAGCTGCCTCAGAATCTGTGTTATCATGATCCATGGCCATGTTGACTGGGATTACAGGAGATTAGTTGGACCTAAATTGTGAAAGACTACTGTTGGCTGGAATCTCTGTCTAAAATTTCTCACCTTAAGATAAATACTGTAGATAGATATAAATGTTATTAAAAGCTTTAAAGAGAACATTAAAAACTAATACAAACTAATACAAAGATAACAAAGAAAGAAAAAACAAAAAACAAAAGTGCAGAAAGAAAGAATAAAAAGAAATAGAAAGAAGCTTCCGATTTCCTTTGCAGTAAATTGAAGTATAATTAAACAATTATGTCTTACTCTATCATTACAAAACAGCTCACTTTTTTCTATTATCCAGTTTTTTTCTAATCATCAAAATCACAAGTCAAAAGAGCATTTTTTTCCATTTCATGCAAAAAATCTATAAGGGGTTTTCAGTCATCCATAAATGTAGATATTCTCTTTTCTCTGATCAAGGACGTTAATTTAGCCATCTCTGCAAGTTCCATCATCTACACCAATCATTCCTCCCTTATGGGTAGTTTCACCTTAAAACTGTTTACTGCCCATGGGATCTGGACTTGGCAACCTTTTCACAGAGAACCTGATTCTACCATGAGTGCCAGCAAAGATTACAATTAGAATTCAAAAGATAATATTTCAGAAGGAAATCATATTCTAATGAATACATTAGGACTACCTCATTCACCTCATTGGAAAGAGCAAATCCATAAAAGCAAACAGTGTCTGGGTTCACACAGCATTCTTGACAGAGGCCTTGTTTTAACTATGGTTTGTTGAAAAAACTAAAGAGACCTAGTACACACTAAGCCATAAACCAAGATTTATAAATAACAATGACTAGCACACCATAGTACTAAGCCAAAATGAAACATTGTAAAACATAACTTGATTTCTTAACACAATGTTCTCTTGATGCTCTATAATACTAATTGAAAATATTCACATTATTTTAATGCTTACTTTTTCATTCATTTGCTTTTCTAGCTTGGGTTATGTACACTGGATGTTCAGCAATCCATAAATCCACCTATTATACCAGAATCAATATTATACAGTACAGGTAGTCCTTGACTTACAAACATTCGTTTCACAACCATTTGAAGTTACAATGGCACTGAAAAAAGTGACTTGCAATTGACCCTCACACTAACAACCATCGCAGCATCCCCACAGTCACATAATCAAAATTCAGGTGCTTGGCAACCGGCATGTATTTACTATGGTTGCAGCATCCCGGGATCACCTGATTGCCATTTGCGACTTTCCCAGGGGGCTTCCGACAAGCAAAGTCAACGGGGGAAGCCAGATTTGCTTAACAACTGGATGATTCACTTAATGACCGCTGTGATTCACTTAACAACTGCGGCAAAAAAGGTTGTAAAAGGTGTGACTCACTTTACGATCACATCACTTAGTGATGGAACTTACGGACCCAATTGTGGTTGTAAGTCGAAGACTACCTGTATGCATTATTTATTATGCAGCAGGAAAAGAACTTTAGCATTTCCATGCTTCAGGTAAAGGCCTGAAAAAGCATTATTTACAAAGCATGAATAAGATCAATTAATAAAAAAATAAGTATTTTGTATACAAAAAATACTTACCAATTTTTGTCCTGAAAGGACCTCCAAAAGAGCAATCAATACAATGCCATCTCTGATGTCTTCAAACAGATCATTGACTACCATGGGAGGACTACGCTGTGAATGAAAGTAGAAAAATTTGAAGTACAAAATTTTAGTTACAAATTGTTCTCACACTGTACCTCCCTCAGTTTCATCATGATTTTCTAGCTTCCTACTTTACCATTATCATTAACATGTAAAAGGATTTGAGAAAGAGAAAAAGAATGTATTATAGAGAATTGGCTAGGCTGGGAAACTGAAAAGCATTCTGGAAGAAGGCAATGGGAAATCACTTCTATACTCTTATCAAGGTTACTTTATAGTTGTATTCCTACAGTCACCAGGGGTCAAGCTTTACTTGAGAAAGTCCTTACATTTCTTCATTATTATTATACAGAAAATAAAAATTAGATTAAAAAGAAAAGTATCCAGAAAACTTTTCTTGATGGAGCAAAATTATCCTGGGAGAATTCTCTTGTGTATCTCTTCTGAATACAATTTATTTTCCTTATGTTTAATCATATGCTTGGTTGCTTATATCATATATAGACACAGAGTCACTTCGTGTGAGATGGGCTGCTATATAAATTTGACAGATAAATAAATAAATAAACAAATAAAACAAATACAAGGAAGGAAGGAGCATCAGGTAGTATTCATTCCAACCCACCTCTATTTGCAGTAAAAGCAGTACTTATTGTATTCTCCTTCCTATGCAGCACCTGTATAAGATTCACTACATGTGTGTCTTTAGCAAGAATGTATTCTTTATTAGATCAATTTTTCCTTATTTTCTCACATTTGGTTGGTGCATTCGTCTTATTGCTTCTATTTTTGCTTTTATGCAGCACCTGTCTTCAGCTTGTTCTTCCCATGCACACACTGCTATAACACTGGGATGAACAATGCATGGAAATTTCCCCCTTTCTGTCTAGACCAGTCTTCCAAATACTGAAAATACTAACAAAGTAATACAGACTTCCTCTACTTTATACTTCAGCAAGTATTGTAGAAAAGCTGGTCATGAATTCAAGTAGTCCAACTACAGACATCCTATATATATATACCTATACTCTATTTTAGATTTGGAATAACTTGAGAGATGCATCACCTAGTAAGCCATTATGCTACTTTGGAACTTCTTCCCCTTGGTCTGTGGTATAATATCCATCTGCCACAGTCACAACGTTCAAATATTTTCTTACAATAATATCTAAAATAGCATAAGAATTGATGA